AGAATTATTATCACAACTTTCAGCCAGGCACAGTGGTTCACACCTGTAATCCCAGCACTTTGGGAAGCCAAGGTGGGTGGATCACTTGAGGTCAGGAGTTTGAGACCAGCCTGGCCAACATGGTGAAACCCCATCTCTACTAAAATTACAAATAGTCAGCTGAGTGTGGTGGCATGTGCCTGTAATCGCAGCTACTTGGGAGCCTGAGGCAGGAGAATTGCTTGAACCCAGGAGTTGGAGGTGCAGTGAGCCAAGATCGCGCCACTGCACTCCAGCCTGGGCAATAGAGTGAGACTCCATTTCAGAAAAAAAAAAAAAGGAATTATTATCATAACTTTAAATAATATGACACATTAGAATGTGTAAAAAAAAAGGTATAAATAAATAAATAAAGAGAAAAAAAGAACAGGAATCAGAGACTTAGAGAGGTTAAATCCCTTGCTTGGTTTATAGTTGAAGTATGTCCCGTCTTGAACCCAGCACTTTACCTGCCTTCTTTCAGCAATTATCCCAAGTCTAGACCTCTGGTCGTGAGCACAGCTTGCTTATAACAGTTTCCACACTCTGCTTCCTTTTCCTCCCCCAGCCACCAGTTCCCTTTTCTCAGCCTTCCCACTGAGGTCTCAGCCTGTGTCCCAGGCACAGGGCCCCACTGGAGGGTGATAATGTCTCCAGAGGCTTGGAGGAGCTGAGGCCCAGAGTCTGAGCTGACTTCAGTCTTCTCTGCAGTGAGACTTTCTCACGTCAACACACTTTATGCTCTCTCTGCTCTAGGTGTGAGGACCACTTTTTGTTGTTGTTTTTCGAGACAGTCTCACTCTGTCACCCAGGCTAGAGTGCAGTGGCACAATCTCGAGTCACTGCAACCTCCGCCTCCCAAATTCAAGCGATCCTCCCACCTCAGCCTCTGAGCAACTGGGACTACAGGTGCCTGCTATCATGCCTGGTTAATTTTCATATTTTTTGTAGAGATGGGGTTTCACCATGTTACCCAGGCTGGTCTTGAACTCCTGGGCTCAAGTTATCTGCCCGCCTCAGCTTCCCAAAGTCCTGGCGTTACAGGCGTGAGCCACTGCCCCTGGCCCATTTTGTATTTTCAGTAAGTCCATAAAGTGTAATATACATATAAGCAGGGCATGGTGACTCACACCTATAATCCCAACACTTTGGGAGGCCAAGGCGAGTAGATCACTTGAAGCCAGGAGATCGAGATTTGTCTGGGCAACATAGCAAGGCTCTGTCTCTTAAAAAAAAATTAGCTTGGTGTGGTGGATATGTGTCTGTAGCCCCAGCTATTTGGGAGGCTGAAGCAGGAGGATGGCTTGAATTCAGGAGTTTAAGGTTATAGTGAGCCATGATCATGCCACTGGACTCCAGCCTGGGTGACAGAGTGAGGCCCTATCTTTAAAAAAAAAAAAAAAATTAGCCAGGCATGTTAATGCATGCCTGTGGTCCCAGCTACTCGGGAGGCAGAAGTGGGAGGATTGCTTGGGCCTAGAGGTGAAGGCTGCAGTGAGCCATGATTGTGCCACTGCATTTCAGCCTGAGTGACAGAGGAAGACTGTGTCTCAAAATAAATACATAATTAATTAAATAATAAATAAATGGGATTATAACTATGTACTCTTTTGTGTCTGGAGTCTTTTACTCAACCTAGGTCATACATGATGTTATATGTAGCAGTAGTTCCTTCTCATTGCTATACAGAGTCAAATGCTATAGTATTCCATTATATATCAATATGTCACAATTTATCCATTCTGCTCTATCTGTCTGCCTGTTTTTATCTGTCTGTCTGTCTGTCTGTCTATCTATCTATCTATCTATCTATCTATCTATCTATCTATATTTTAGACACAGAGTCTCACTGTGTTGCCCAGGCTGGAGTGTAGTGGCATGATTATAGCTCACTCTAACCTTGAATTCCTGGGCTCAAGTGATCCTCCTTAGTTTCCCAAGTACGGGTACATGCCACCACATGTTGATAATTTTTAATTTTATTTTTTTAGAGATGGGGTCTCACTATTTTGCCCAGATTGGTCTTGAACTGTTGGCCTGAAGCAATCCTCCTGCCTCAGCCTCCCAAAGCACTAGGATTATAGGTGTGAACCACTGCATCCAGCCTCATTCTACTGTTGATGGACATTTTATTATTTCCATTGTGAACATCCTCCTATATCTCTTTTTTGCATACAAGTAAACATCTCTGTTGAGTAAATATGCAGGAATGTATTGCTGGGTTATGGAGCAGGCCTGTATTTAGTTTTAGTAGATACTATCACACAGTTTTCCAAAATGGTTGTATCACTTTATACTCCAACGGCAGCATATTTGCCAGTTTCTCCACATCCTTACCAACATTAGTATTGCCAGTCTTTTTAATTTTAGCCATTCCGGTGGGTGTGTAGTGGCATTTCACTGTGATTTTAATTTGTATTTCCATGTTGATAATGAAACTGAGTATCTTTTCTGTTCTGGTCTGTTTTTTTACTTTTTGTTTTCTTGAGACAAAGTCTCATTGTGTCACCCAGGCTGGAGTGCAGTGGTGCTATTATAGCTTACTACAAATCTCAAACTCCTGGGCTGAAGAGATGCTCCTGTCTCAGCTTCCCAGGTAGCGGGACCATGGGCGCACGCCACTGCACCCCGCTATTTTGCTTAGTTTTTGAGGAGACAGGTCTTGCTGCGTTGGCCAGGCTGGTCTCCAACTCCTGGGCTCAAGTGATCCTCCTGCCTCAGCCTCCTAAAGTGCTGGTATTACAGGCGTGAGCTACCATGCCTGGCCTGTTTTTCATATATTTCTTGGCCATTTGGATATTCATTTTTGTGAAGTGCCTGTTCATGTCTTTTTTCTTTTTTGTACAATACACCATGATGTTCAGCTGTTCATGCCTTTTGCCCATTCTTCTTTTTCTTTTCTTTTTTTTTTTGAGACATAGTCTCACTGTGGCGCCCAGGCTAGAGTGCAGTGGCACGATCTCAGCTCACTGTAACCTCCACCTCCTGGGTTCAAGTAATTCTCCTGCCTCAGCCTCACAAGTAGCTGGGACTACAGGCACCCACCACCATGCCCAGCTTAATTTTTTTTTTTTTTTTTGTATTTTTAGTAGAGATGGGGTTTCACTGTGTTGGCCAGGTCTTGAACTCCTGACCTCGTGATCCATTTTTTTTTTTAATTTTGTTTCTTTTCTGAGACAGGGTCTCACTCTGTCACCCAGACTGGGGTACAGTGGTGCAATCACGGCTCACTACAGCCTCGACCTTCTCTGGGCTCCCACCTCAGCCTCCTGAGTTGCTGGACTATACAGACTCACACCACCATGCTCAGCTAATTTTTGTATGTTTTGTAGAGACTGGGGTCTCATGATGTTGCTCAGGCTGGTCTTGAACTCCTGGGCTAGAGCAATCCTCCCTCCCCTCTACTCCCTGCCCCCGGGCCTCCCACAGTGTTGGAATTACAGGCCAGGCATGAGCCACTGCACCCACCTGTCCCTTTTGCCCATTCTTTTTATTGGATTGTCTGCCTTGTTCTTACTGATTGGTAGGAATTCTTTATATATTGTAGATATACTTTGTTAGTTATATATATCTTCTTCCAAAGAATGCTGCTAAAGGTTTAGAATAAAGCTGCTGGGCAAGAGGGAAGAGAAATGTGTCTTTTGTAAGGTTTGGGATCTGGTTGAAGGATTTTAAGGAGGGCCTTAGGGAGTGGGGATAAACTGGACTGGTTGCTGGTTCTGAGGTGGAATTAGAACTGGGAATTGGCTAGGTGCCGGGTGTGGTGGCTCATGCCTGTAATCCCAGCACTTTGGGAGGTGGGCAGATCACCTGAGGTAAGGAGTTCGAGACCAGCCTGGCCAACATGGTGAAACTCTGTCTCTACTGAAAATACAACAACAACAACAACAAAATCAGCCGGGCGTGGTGGTGCATGCTTATAATTCCAGCTACTTGGGAGGCTGAGGCAGAAGAATCACTTGAACCTGAAAGGTGGAGGTTGCAGTGCGCCGAGACTGCATCACTGCACTCCAGCCTGGGCGCCAGAGCAAGACTCCGTCTCCACACAAAAAAAAAAAAAGAGAGAGAGAGAACCGGAGATTAACTAGGGATGGAATGCTGTCATAAGGCAAGGGTGGCAGCAACCGAGTATCTCCAGTAACAAATGAAAATAGCAAAGCTTGTCTAGAAGACACTGACTGCTTTTTTCTCTTTTCAGGTCAAGCTAATTTTCACCCTTTCAAGTCTCCATAAGTTTTGACTTTTTCTTTTTTCTTTCTTTTTTTCTTTTTTTGAGACAGAGTTTCGCTCTTGTTGCCCAGGCTGGAGTGCAATGGCGTGATCTCGGCTCACCACAACCTCTGCCTCCCAGGTTCAAGCGATTCTCCTGCCTCAGCCTCCTGAGTAGCTGGGATTACAGGCATGTGCGACCATGCCCGACTTATTTTGTATATTTAGTAGAGACAGGGTTTCTCCATGTTGGTCAAGCTGGTCTCGAACATCCTGACCTCAGGTGATCCGCCTGCCTCGGCCTCCCAGAGTGTTGGGATTACATATATACTTTTATATGAGAGTATATGACTTTCATATAAATGTTTCTAGGCTTAATTTTGAAAATAGATTTTCAAAAACAACTTTTTGTTGTTAACTGCAAAAGAATTCCAGTTTTTTGTTTGCTTTGTTTTGTTTTTTTGAGACAGTCTTACTCTGTTGTCCAGGCTGGAGTGCCAAGGTGCAACTCCTGACCTCAAATGATCCACCCGCCTCAGCCTCCCAGAGTGCTGGGATTACAGGCATGAGCCACCACGCCCGGCCACGCCCGGCCACACTCCAGTTTTATAAGGCTCACTCCTGTGGCCCTGAAACCTGGTCCTGGCTGGAGTAAGAACCCTATAGAACCCTTAGCAACCTAACTTCCTCCCTAGCAACAGATCTCCTTGGAGCTCCTCCCCGTTCGAAGCCAGGAAGGGGCGTAAAACCGGATGTTGACTGTTTTACCATAGTAATGCACACGAATCCGGAAGTGACGCCAGAAGAAGAGGACGTGAAGACTACAGGGTATCCACGTGGGTTCTGAGCGTGTTTCCACGTTCCTGGAAACCGGTCGTTTAAGCTCAGTGCCGGCCACGGCTTAGTCAACATGGGTCGCTCGGGAAAGTTGCCCTCTGGTGTCTCAGCTAAGTTGAAGCGCTGGAAGAAAGGCCACAGCAGCGACAGCAATCCCGCCATCTGCCGCCACCGCCAGGCCGCCCGCAGCCGCTTCTTCAGCCGGCCGTCAGGTAGCTGGGTTGGGACCCGAGCTCAGCCGGCGGCGGGTTTCCGGGAAGACCTGAGTCCAGATGAGTCTGGGGGCTCTGGGAGAGTCCGGGGCCAGGCATTGGACCTTTCATCTCTTAGGATGTCGGATCTGGAGCCCTCTCTGAAGGGCAGCCCTTCCAATTTAGCAGATACGGAAACTGAGGTCCGCAGTAGGGAAATGTCTTGTGTAAGGTACCGCGGGTGTCAGAGTTGAGACTGATGGCTTGGACCTTGGATAACTCTTTACAGAGCGCTTTCACCTTTATTTATTTTCCAGGCCCTCTGAATGTAGCTCCCAGCCGATTCCCAGTGGCGTTTATGCCACTGCTACAGGCAAGCAGAAACTCTTACATGGAGGATTCCCTTTCTTCTTGGTTTTTCAAGTTTTTAGGCATACAGTGGGTTTATGAGACTGGCTGTGTTCAGAATTCAGCCTCTCGGGTTGGCGATTTGGCCTGAGCTGGTTTGTTTCCCAGGGGTTCTGTTCTCTTGACTAAAAGGAGACTTGGACCTTATCTTGTGCCTCTGGCTCTCAGGAAGGAGTGACCTGACAGTCGATGCTGTGAAGTTACATAATGAGCTGCAGTCAGGGTCCTTGCGCTTGGGCAAAAGCGAAGTCCCCGAGACGCCTATGGAAGAAGAGACAGAGCTGGCTCTCACCGAGAAGTCCTCGGGCACCTTCCTGAGTGGCCTTTCCGACTGCACAAACGTCACCTTCAGCAAAGTGCAGCGCTTCTGGGAGTCCAACTCGGCTGCCCACAAGGAGGTAGGAGCCAGGGTCAGGAGGGCCATTGGATAGTGAGGAGAGGCCAACTCATGCCTTTTCTTCAGCTCTGGCTGACGGGTTTCCGATGACAACAGCTGGTATTTCTGGATGATGTGTCATCGCTCCTCCCTTTTATGTCCCCTCCTAGGGCAGGTTCCACTTTCTGCTTTTTATAAGAACATCTCCCCTGCTGAAGAAATACTTGAGGGTAGAAATATTTTCCAAACATTTCTCTCCTCAGGTGTATCTAACACAGCACTTCTTACACAGAGTATTTTCAGTAAACATATGTTGAGTAAATAAATGCTGAGTAACAGTTATTAGGAAACGTTTTATCTAGCAAGAACTAAATTTAATTTAATTTAATTCATGTATTTATTTTGAGACAGAGTCTCGCTCTGTTGGCCAGGCTGGAGTGCAGTGGCATGATCTTCGCTCACTGCAACCTCCGTCTCCCGGGCTCAAGCAATCCTCCTGCCTCAGCCTCCCGAGTAGCTGCAATTACAGGCATGTGCCACCACGCCTGGCTAATTTTTTCTTTTTTTCTTTTCTTTTTTTTTTTTTTTTTTTTAGTAGAAAAGGGGTTTCACCATATTGGCCAGGCTGGTCTGAGCCTCCTAAAGTGCTGGGATTACAGGCATGAGCCACCGTGCCTGGCCTTACTTTTATTATGTTATCTGTACTTTAAAGTTATATATATTTTTTGTTACTGAAATAAAAAATGTCAAAATTCTAAATGATATCAAAATGATAGAAGAAGAATAAAATGTGATGGTAGAGCCCCCAACTTGAGTCATTCACAGAGCTCCTGTTAATGGGTCATTGTCTGTCTTCCTGGACCAGCTCTGTCCAATAGTAATCTAAATTCAAGCCACATATGTAATTAATTAAAAAAATTTTAGTAGCCATATTAAAAACTGAAAGAAACAGGTTTTTTTTTTTTTTTTTTTCCCCCTGGAGACAGAGTTTCGCTCTTGTTGCCCAGTCTAGGGCGCAATGGTGCGATCTCGGCTTACTGCAACCTCTGCCTCCTGGGTTCAGGTGATTCTCCTGCCTCAGCCTCCCGAGTAGCTGGGATTACAGGTGTGAGCCACTGCGTCTGGCCCAAATTAATGTTAATAATGTACTTTATTTAACTCAGTATCTTTAAAATATTATCACTTCAATGTATAATCAATATATTTTACTACAGCATTATTTTTATGATACTAAGTCTTCAAAATCTAGTGTATAATTTACCCATATTCCCCTACTTAGATGCTAAATTTTCATTGGAAATACTTGGTTCATGTGTATTTAGAGTTCATAACATTTATAGTTGTACAAGTAGATTCGCCTACTATGAATTACTGCGAACCTATTCGCCAGGTTGTTACAAATATATGTTTCCTAGTAAATGGATCGAGTATTTTAAATTATGAGTAGTTAAAATTTAAAAATTAAATTTTAAGGCCAGGCGTAGTGGCTCACACCTGTAATCCTAGCACTTTGGGAGGCCGAGGTGGGCAGATCATTTGAGGTCAAGAGTTTGAGACCAGCCTGGCCAACATGGTGAAAACCCATCTCTACTAAAAAATTAGCCTGGCATGGTGGCATGCACCTGTAATCCCAGCTACTCAGGAAGCTGAGGCACGAGAATCGCTTGAACCCTGGAGGCGGAGGTTGCAGCAACCCAAGATTGCACCACTGCGCTTCAGCCTGGGTGACAGAGTGAGACTCTGTCTCAAAAAAAAAAAAAGAAAAGAAAAGAAAATATTTTTTACCCAATTTTGTTATTTAGGTTTACCAAAATGTGATTAGTTTCTTTTCTTTTTTTTTGAGACAGAGTCTCACTTGGTCACCCAGGTTGGAGTGCAGTGGCTGATCAGCCTCCCAGCCTCCCAAGTAGCTGGGACTGCAGGGGAGTGCTACCATACCCAGCTAATTTTTGTATTTTTTGTAGAGATGAGGTTTGCCATATTGCCCAGATTGGTCTCAAACTCCGGGGCTCAACAGATCTGCCCACCTCAGCCTCTCAAAGTGCTGGGATTACAGGCATGAGCCACTGTGCCCTGCTTGATTAGTTTATTTTCTATCCACTGTTCTGCAACTTTTTCCCTACTGAACGATATTTATAAGTTAATATATAGTTGTTCTCATTCTTTTGAATAATGCACTATTTAAATCTTTCATTATTTATTATATGATACAGTCGGATCTCCATATCTGCAGGTTCTGCACCTGCAGATTCAACCAAGCATGGATTGAAAAATCTTTTTAAAATAATAATAATATACCGGGTGAGGTGACTCACACCTGTAGCCCTAGCACTTTGGGAGGCGGAGGCGGGCAGATCACTTGAGGTCAGAAGTTCAAAACCAGCCTGGCCAGCATGGTGCAACCCCATCTCTATTTAAAATACAAAAAATTAGCCTGGCATACTGGCACATGCCTGTAATCCCAGCTACTCAGGAGTCTGAGGCAGGAGAATCGCTTGAACCTGGGAGGTGGAGGTTGCAGTTAGCGGAGAGTGCGCCACTGCATTCCACCTTGGGCAACAGAGTGAGACTCTGTCTCAAAGCAACAACAACAACAACAACAAAAATACAACTATTTAGATAGCATTTACATTGTGTTAGGTGTTATAAGTAATCTCGAGATGATTTAAAGTACATGGGAGGCCAGACATGGTGGCTCATGCCTGTAATCTCAGCACTTTGAGAGGCTAAGGAGAGCGATTACTTGAGGCCAGGAGTTCAAGACCAGCTTGGTCAACATAGTGAAACTGCATCTCTATTAAAAATACAGAAATTAGCCGGGTGTGATGGTGCACACCTGTAATCCCAGCTACTTGGGAGGCTGAGGCAGGAGAATTGCTTGAACCCAGAGGCAGAGGCTGCCGTGAGCTGAGATCATGCCACTGCACTCTTGTCTGGGTAACAGAGTGAGACTCTGTCTCAAAAAAAATAAAGTATATGAGAAGATGTATATAGGTTATACACAAATACTGCACCATTTTATATAAGGGACCTGAGCATCCTTGGATTTTGGTATCTTTAGGGGTCCTGGAACCAATCCCCCTCTTGATAACTGCAGTACATTAGAGACAACTACAGTACATTATTAATCTCCTGTTGATGGCTTCTTGACCATTCCAATTTGTTGCTGCCATGAACATCCTTGTACATAAATATTTGCACACTCATCTCATGCAGGTATTTCTACAAGGTTAGTACCTCATGGTGGAATTTTAGCAAGCATTTTCTGAGTCTTCTTATTTGCTGGGCCCCCTGGTATGGACCCAGGCCCTGAATGTTGCCTGTCTTGTCTGTCTCTGGGCTTTAACCGGAGATTAATCTGAAGGAGCAAGGAAAGAAGGCTCCCCTGGGGTGGGGTTAGGTCTCAAATAGTCACAGTGCTTTCTCCCTCCTGTGCAGATTTGTGCTGTTTTGGCTGCTGTCACTGAGGTGATTCGCTCCCAGGGAGGGAAGGAGACAGAGACTGAGTACTTCGCTGCTCTGGTGAGTGGGTGCCGCTGGAGGGTGAGTGTTCAGAGCAGCAGGTTATGCAAGATTTAGTGAGAAGACGAGTGCCCCTGGCATGTGGGGGTAGAGGACAGCCTTGACCAGATGAAAGTGCTGCATTTATTCTCAGGTGGCTTAGGAAGGCTGGTGGTATTTGCTACATTTCTATTTTCCCTTTCTTTTCTTTCTTTTTTTTTTTTTTTTTTTTTTTTTTTTTTT